CCAATGTATTGCATCTCTTCAGGCTGAAATCGTTAACCTGAAGACCGAGAACAACGATCTTCGCGAAAGAAATACGAACATATCTTATATCATGTCCGATTTACGCACGAAAATTAAGGACGTGGAAATAGAAAAAAGAATATATGAAAAAAGAAGTAAAAAAGAAAAAAGAATATGAAAAAAGAAGTCTTATTACTGCTCTTAAACTGTTACAAGCTGATTCTAACTCTGACTTGGAAAAGCGTTGCCAAGATGAACCTGGATTAGGCGACGAAACCATCCAAGCAAACCCGCCATCTTCTGATCAACCACCAAACCAGCCAGCCAATAAAGAGAAGCGCCGTAAAAAGAGGAAGAGTAAGAAATCTAAACCAAATGTGCCAGATTTAACTGCTGATCATTCTACGGACGTGGCTGCTGCTCCCTCTGAGGTCGCTGTTTCTGCCACATCTGAGACCGCCACTTCTGCCACCTCTGAGGCCACCGTTGGTCCAGATAGACCAGACTCGATGAGACATCGCAAGAAAACTGTTGTCATCGCGGGTGATTCTATTGTTAAGAATATTGTTGGTGCAAAAATGAGTGGTAATGATTCTAAGCATTATTTCATCGTGAAACCTTTCCCAGGAGCCACAATATCAGACATGGAGGATTTCGTTAAACCACTGTCGAGGAAGTCGCCCGACAAGATGGTTCTACATGTGGGGACGAATGATCTAAGGAGCTGTACGCCGAGAGTTATTGCTGACTCAATTGTTAATCTTGTTACTCAAGTGAAAGAGGACTCGCCAAACACAACAATTGGTGTTTCTGCTATTGTGGTAAGAAATGATAATGTCGATCTTGCTTTCAAAGCATTGCAAGCTAATATTATACTTAAGGAGTATTGTCTGCGCAATGAAATACCCTTTTTAAATAATTCAAACATCAATGCAAAGCACTTGAACTATAAAGGACTTCACCTGAACAAAGAAGGAACTTCGGTTTTGCAACAAAACTTATTAGGGTTTGTAAGTACTATTTCTGATTTACTGAACCCTGATACTAGTATTAAGCCTGTCTTTCCTAATTTGCGGGGGTTTAATATGGCAGCACTTAATGTGAGAAGTCTAATTGGCCACATTGATGAACTGCGGGTTTTGCTTGCCACTAACCCGATTGATGTTTTAGCTATAAATGAGTCTTGGCTTGATGCTAGTATACACGATAATGAGATACACATTTCTGACTATGAAATCGTACGGCGTGACAGGTGTATGTGTAGTGCTAATGGGAAAACATATGGGGGCGTTCGCTTCTATGTGCGCTCTAGCATAAATTTCTCGCCTCGCCTGGATCTGTCTAGCCATCAACTAGAAAATTTGTGCATTGAAATTCGAAAACCTAGTTCTAAGCCATTCATTGTTTCGACTTGGTACAGGCCGCCTGATTTTGCCAACGATAAATTTTCTTATTTCGAGTCATTTATTGGTAGGCTTGATTCAGAAAATGTCGAATATTATCTTTTAGGCGATCTAAATTGCGACCTTGGCGCATCTGTTTTGGACCATAACTCTAGGTCATTAACCGACATTGTTGACTTATATGGTATGCATCAGCTGATAAATGAACCCACACGTGTTACCGAGTCATCTTCGACTATAATCGATCACATTTTTACTAATGCTCCAGATAAGGTTGTTTTCTCTGGTGTTTCACATGTCGGCATTAGTGATCATAGCTTAATTTATGCTTTTCGAAAGCTTTCAACAGGCATTTACAATAAAGGTCATTCTACCGTGACGTATAGAAAATTTAAAAACTTTGACCTTGATAGTTTTCGGTCTGACATTTGTGCACAGAATTGGACTGCTGTAAACAACTTTAACGATCCAAATGATATGTGGCGGGTTTGGAAAAACACATTTAATAATGTTGTTGAAAAGCATTCTCCTTTACGCACGAGGCGTGTCAGATCTTCTAAGTCACCGTGGATAACGCCTGAATTAAAACAACATATGCACAAAAGAGATATTCTAAAAGTTAAGGCTATTCGTTCAAAAGATTCTAATGACTGGGCTGCATTTAAGACTTTCCGAAACTATGTAACAAATGAAATTAAACTTGTTAAAGAAACTCATTATCAGAACGCATTCCATCAAAACAAACAAAATATGAAAAAGACTTGGGGTATTGTAAACGAACTTACTTCAAGGAAGCAATTTAGTTCACAAGTCAAGGAAGTTAAAACAAATGGTTCCTTAGTCAGTGAACCTAATGAGTTATCCGAGGTGTTCAATGATCATTTTGCTAGTATAGGCTCTTAGCTTGCTCAGAAAATTCCCTATATTGGGAATGGTGGTACACACTTTGATTACTTGCCAAGTCAATCTAATGATAATTTTCGACTAAATACAACTAGTCCGTCGGTGGTTGGTACCCTCTTGTCTAAACCTTGTAAATCTAAAGCCGCGGGTTTGGATAAGATATCAGCCAGATTACTTTGCGATTGTTCCGACCTAATAGCCGATTCAATATGTGCAATTTTTAACTGTTCTATTAACTTTGGTACATTCCCCAACGAATGGAAATGCTCAAAAGTCATTCCATTATTTAAAAAGGGAGAGCGTAGGGATTTAAATAACTATCGCCCAATTTCTATAATTCCAGTGGTGGCGAAAGTTTTTGAGAGAATTATTTATGATCAAGTTTATGCCTATCTTATGGATAATAACCTCTTATCTAATTGCCAGTCAGGGTTTCGAACTCTTCATTCCACTGTCACCGCACTTCTTGAGGCTACTAATAACTGGTCTTACAATATTGACCGAGGCAACGTTAATGCCGTCGTTTTCTTAGACCTCAAGAAGGCGTTTGATACTGTTGATCATGCAATATTGCTGTCAAAGTTAAGCGTATATGGTTTGGGAGGTTCTACAGGCAACTGGTTTAGGTCCTACTTAAATGATCGCAATCAAAAATGTTATGTCAATGGTCATCTGTCTGGTCAACGCGTATTGCCTTGCGGTATCCCGCAAGGGACTATCTTAGGACCTTTGCTTTTCCTTATCTACATTAATGATTTACAAAATTGCCTGACACATTCCCATCCACGTATGTACGCTGATGACACTAATTTAACATTTGCTAGCAATAATGTTGATGACATGGACTATAAGCTTAATGAAGATCTTGATAATGTCAATAAATGGCTCATAGCCAATAAGCTAACTCTCATGCAATCAATGTAAAACAGAGTTCATGCTAATTGGGTCAAGACAAAAATTAACCACGTTACACTCGGCCCCTTCCTTAGCAATCAATGGACATCCTGTTCGCCAAGTTTCTCAAACGGAGTCCCTTGGGATGAAGCTTGATGAAAACCTGTCTTGGAATGCCCATATCAATGATTTAATAAAAAAGATTGCTTCTGGTATTGGTGCTTTGAAACGTGTACGTTCTTTTATTCCAGCTACAACGTTGAAGCTTGTTTACAACGCTCTAGTTCAGCCTCATTTCAGCTACTGTTGTTCAGTTTGGGATAACTGTAATAAAACTTATGCTGAAAAGCTCCAAAAATTACAAAATCGTGCAGCCAGGGTTTTAACATTCTCTAGCTATGTCACTAATGCCGATTCACTCTTTGAAAAGCTCAATTGGAAAACACTTTCCTTTCAGCGTAAAGTTCAAAAGGCTGTAATGGTCTATAAATCTCTTAATGGTTTAGCTCCCGACTATATGCACTCCATGTTTACTGATCGTGAAAGTGTAACTTCAATCCAATTGCGTGACACTGAGAATAAATTAGCTGTTCCTATGCCTCGCACAAACTATTTGAAAAACAGCTTTAGTTATAGTGGCGCTGTGCTGTGGAACAGTCTTCCAATCGGGTTACGGCAAGCACAGTCCCTTGACAATTTTCGAGCGGGCTGTAGAAGTCTTTTATAAACTTTAATGTCTATTTTTAATACACGGCCCTCATGGAAAGCATGTATAGAGATAACTTTGTAACCACCGTAGTTTTTGTAATATAGTTTAGTTAATGTAGCCCATATAATGTAAATCCTGATGAGCAATACCGTGCCTAAATAAAGTTTTAATAATAATAAAATAATGGTACGGTACATATAATGTCACGCATGCCATACTATACTGTACTGGACCATATACCATGCATACCATACCATATCATGTGTTGTATCATTCCATCCCATCCCATAACATATGTTATCTTATTATATGGACAATGGTGTTTTAAGCCTAGTTTCCATTTGGTTGTTAGTTGTCGCTGGCACGACAAGCGGTAGATGTGAAATAGTTTAATAAAATAATAGTCTTTTTGTGTGGTATGCAAATCAGTCTTAATGATTGCGGAAATTTTTGTTGAAACTCTATTACATCAGCCACTTGTCGTGCCAGCGACAACTAACGACCAAATGGAAACTAGGCTTTACTGGAAACTAAAACACTCGTAGAGCTCATACGTCACTACATCCGGGACCAGGTGTGCGTATTTTCCGTATTTCACCCCAGCTAGTGAAATACGAAGTTCGAAAATTTCCCGCCATTTTCATTGTTGTTGTTTTGAAAATACAAATGGTCTTTGGTTCGTATATTTAAAACGAAATTAACGTTGGAAATAAAACGGAAACATTTAAAAGACATCTTGATATAAGTATAACATTTATTCTAGTTTTATGTTTGCACTATAATTTTAAAAAATATCGCTTTTACACTGGTCTTTCGCGTTCTGATTTACATGTCGTCTTTGTGTGTATTTTTGTCACTCTGAATATTAAGTCCATATAATAAACAGAACATTAAACGGTTGCGAGAAGATATGGATTTATGTTCTCGTGTCAAAAACAATGTCTCACTCGTTCGCTGCGTGCGCTCACTTGTGAGATATTGTTTTTGCCACTCGAACATAGAATCCATATCTCTTCGCAACCGTCTATTAACATCCTCTATATATTGTATTAATTTTCTATCTGCATGGAAACAAGCTTTGGTGTCCGTTCGTCGTATGAGAAAAACTAGAAAAGACCGTATTATATATAGACAGATATCTGTTAGGAGAGATTCTATGCGGTATAGTCTTTCAATTTCCTACCTTCCAGAATCTTGATTTTGCTCTTGCACCGCTTGTGTAGCAACATTATTTTCTTTGTTGCGTCTTAAAAAAGAATAATATTCAATTTAATAATTTTAGTTTCAGTATAACTGTCTTCATCTTCGATCTCACTAACTTTCATGCAAGGCCATCCATCTCCCTTTTAGAACTACGGCCTCTTAATTACTATAGGTACAATTTTATTCAAGCGCTAGCCGCCGATGGTGAAGGCATGTGTGCGCAATAAATTCTCCTTGAAAAATCTAGTAAAGGAAGGCATATATAATATAAAGGCATAATATCGAAACGTCAAAAAAGTACTTTTTTTCTGTTTATATTGAGTGGCTATCAGACTATAGCTAGTGTATGTGGTAGGCCTATATTAATATTTTTCAAGTCGTTATTTTGTTCTTGTTGCCTGTAGGATATCTTCTGTGAAGTCAATATACTCAGCCATTTTACGCGTGAAAAGAAATAGAAAGAGGAATTTTGCGTTAAACGTCATTGTAAAACGTAAAATTGTTTTTCTTTTCGTGAATCGTGAAATTTCCGATTTATTTTTCGAAAAACGTTTATTAATAGTCTTCCTTTACCACCATCCTGTTTAGAATAGAATGATACAAACCTTCTCCAATAAAGTATTGCTCCCACAAGAACCAAAAGTGTCAATATTACCAGGATTGGCAAAATTATTGATAAATAAATATCTGAGTTGTCACCGTTGGCGTTTTGTAAATTCGTTCTTCCACTATTGAAAGTATTATTTGTCGTTGGCTTTGTGAACGGCATTGTTATAAAGGATGTTGTTTTAATTCCTAAAAGATTAAAAATGGCACATACAGATATTCAAATTTTAATATCATTTGGAAGTTTTGAAAATGGTTTTCAATTTTTATGCATAGTTGAACGTGCCTTATGAAGAACGACCTTAAGTTATCAGGCATTTTGTATTTTGTGTTATGACGTCACTGGTTGTGCTTAATATGGTAGCAAAAAAAAGAAAGCCTAATATCTAAGTGATTCAACGAAATTTAATGAAATTTTGTACAGTTAGTGAGTGCACTTAATAAAACAAACATTTTGGAACATTTATGTGTTGTCATAGCAACAAACTAGTAATTTACTTTGATAGTTTAGTCACTTCAGCATCTATGAGAACAATAATAATAAATGCATAGAAATCATTGACAAAATGTCCTTTCCATTTTGTGAGAAATAAAGAAATAGACAAATAGGATATGCAGGGAGACCTGATAACTAGTGTGGTGCTATGATAACCATAAATGTTCTAAAATGTTTGCTTAGGTATACCACTGAGCTACACATATTACTGGAGAACCTGCTCTACACAAAACATGTATATATATATATATATATATATATATATATATATATATATATATATATATATATATATATATATATATATATATATATATATATATATGATGATGATTTTATTGATCCATCTTTAGTTTAAAAATACAATGGATTTACAAATATGTCTATTAAAAGAGAAGAGCATAACTAAGCATGCAATAATATTTACAAACTATCTAAAATTTATATATATACAATTTGGAGTAAAAAATTTAAAAGTCTAGGAAATTATTTAAAAAGTTAATAAAAACCAAGTTTGGTTTTAGTGCAACCCCTGTCTCATTGCTCGTGGGACAAAACTATTTCTGTGTCGTTCAGTGCCTGAGAAAGGTGCGTATTTAAATATACCGTCTCTACGCCTAAGATTATAGTTATGTTTATTATGTTCCATAGTTCGTTGATAAAAGATATGACTTGGATCACCTAAGATGTTAACGAGTTCCCTCGATGTGGCTTCAATTCTTCTCTCTTCGAGAGTTGGCAGGTAACCATGCGGGAGGCCAATAATTCGTAGACTCTTCCTTTGCGCACGTTCCAATTCGTCCTTTAGATATCGTGGCAGACCACCCCACACTGGAAAACAATATTCAAGGATAGGCCTGATTTTAGTTAAATAAGTGGTGAGACCCACTTCGACTGGTAGATTCGCTCTTCTACATTCTCGTAGGCAGTACAGGTTTTTAGCTGCTTTGCGGGTGGTCTCCTCGACATGTTTATTCCATTTCAGGTCCTTTTGAAAGAGTTTAAGATTATCGACTCCCAAGAGTTTAAAATTATCGACTCTTTCTATGATAGCATCTCCTATATGCAGTGGTAGAGGGGGCGGTGCTTCGATGAAGTTAATCCACATATCTTTTGTCTTTTTGACATTCAGTTCCATTTTATTTTCCACAGCCCAACTTTGTACTGAGTCCAGAGCGCTTTGCAAATCGCTAAATTCTCCTAATCTTATGGACGTATCCATGGTGCAATCGTCCGCATATTTGATTGTGTTGACACATGCCTGTTCAGAAACATTTTCCTCCATATCGTTAATATGTATGTTGAATAGGGTCGGCGAGATAGCAGATCCCTGAGGGACGCCGGCTGGGCATGATGCAGTAAAGGATAGTACACCTTGGAGATTTACCTGTTGTGTTCTTCCCTCCAGAAAACTCATTGTCCATAACCAGAAACTCCTTGTTACATTCATATCAGCAAGCTTGTCCAGAAGGAACTTATGGTCGACCAAGTCAAACGCCTTCCGGAAATCAACAAATAGGGCGTGGACACCTTGTCTACCGGTTGAGGAGTTGTCCGTTGAGTCGAACCAGTTCTGAGATATGGAGGTAAGGGCAGACACGGTGGAGTGACCGCTCGTAAAGGCGTGCTGGTTTGTTTTGATCTTGAAACTGGATTTATTGAGTTGCAGCTGTAGCTTCTCGATAACTTTTGCTAGTTGTGGTAGCACGGAAACTTGGCGAAAGTCATTATCTAGGTCTGTGAGTGGACGGATCTTTGGTATGGGACTAATGATTGCATGCTTGTAGGAGGTGGGATATTTGCATTGAACTATGCTTGCAACCAAAATATCGTGGACCACTGGTGCTAATTCTTCTGCGTACCGTTTAAGATATCATGCAGGGAAATTATCCGACCCAGTGCCTTTCCTAGGATTTAGGTGTTTTAGGACGGTTTTGACTTGGCCAATGGATGGTAGAGGTGGGTGGCTGTCCTTGAGCAAATGCTCTACCGCTTAAAGTCTGGGAAGATCTGGTTGAATTCCCAGCCAAGGCTTAGTAAAACTTCTTTGTAGTCTGTCAGCGATTTTCATTAGGTCAGCGTGGTCAGGCGAGGACAGAGATTGTTGATTTTCGGTTGCTGCCGCTAGCTTGTAAATCGTTTAATACCATTTGGCGGGATTGGATTGATGGTTGCCTTCAGCCTTGGATTTGTAGTACGTAGCTTTAGCGTTGGATATCAGCTTGGTAACTTTTGCATGTAAACTTTTATACTTCGGTGTCTCCCCTTTCGTAAATGCTCTCTGTCTTGCTTTTATCAACGCTTTAATATTGGGGGTCATCCACGGTTTGTCCGTACAGTGTGCGCGAACTGTTCTCACGGGTAAGGCTTCATCAAGCATACAGATAACGATATAGTTAAAGACTGAGACCTTGTCGTCCACATCCCATTCGGAATATACTTTCTCCCAGTCTTCAAGATTCATTTTCAGTCCCAGAACGTTTAAGTTCTCTGGTTTCATTTGTCGATATTTCTTTGAAACTGGGGGCATCTTCTGTCTTGTTTTGGGTGGTAAGATCAAACATTGGAGATCGGAACGTCCGATGGGTGGAATGTGAAGAACTTCGTCATACAAATCCGACATATTGGTAAGTATCTGGTCCAAAATGTTTTTTCCCCTCGTGGGCGACTTGACCTGTTTGCGTATATTGAAACGGCGACACAAAGGGTTCAAGTCCAACTTGTTGAATATATATATATATATATATATGAATGTGAGAAACTACTGCAACATATGGATCGCGAGGACAAAGAAAGTATCATGATGGGAGATATTAATATTGACCATGCTAAGGACTCAACCGATGCCAACACAGTATAATTAAAATTTCTTATGGACTCATTTCAATACAACCAGAAAATTATTGAATCTATCAGGGTGAGTCTGGCAAAGGCACCCCAATTTAGTACAAAAATTGACCCAAACAGGACATGAATAATTATACACCAATATCCGTGATCTTGAATCAACCACTGCTAAAGTAATCGAAAATATTGCTCATAGCCAACTCTCATTTATATTAACAAGATGAGAACCTATACAAATTTTATTCGAATTGTACAAGATGTTATTGTATAATTTGCGATTTTCGACTGTCCATAGGAAATTTCACGCAAGTAATCGCCAGCTGTCCACATTGTCGTCGAGCTGAATATAAGCTGGAAGGACGACAGTTTTTGTCCAGCTGACTGTGTAAAGAATAGAACCGGACACATCAATATATTTAGCGAGAGCCGGACACATCAATTTATTCTTACCATACGTACACTGTAAATCTGGGAGTGTTGCCACAACACCAAAATCGGTGTAAATTCTTGCCTCTGTGGGGACACCGAAAAGGTGTCAGTTAACACTGATTTTAGTGTTAATTTACACCTCTTCAGTGTAAATAGTTGTGTCTGTAAGAACGCCCGTTTGGTGTTAATTTGCACCATCCTAGGTTGTTTGACGCTGCTTTGGTGTAAATCCGCTTGCCTCGATCTGTGGGGACACCAATTTGGTGTTTGTTTACACTGAGAGAGTAAATTTACACTATCCTAGGTTACTTAACACTGCTTTGGTGTAAATCCGTTTGCCTCTGTGGGGACACCAATTTGGTGTTTATTTACACTGAGAGGGTATAAACTTACACTGTCCTAGGTTATTTAACGCTGCTTTGGTGTAAATCCGCTTGCCTCTGTGGGGACACTGATGGTGTTTGGTGTTTGTTTACACTGAGAGAGTAAACTTACACTGCCATAGGTTATCTAGCACTTCTTTGGTGTAAATCTACTTTCCTCCGTGGCGACACCAAATTGGTGCAAAGTTATACCTCGAAAGTAAACTTACACTTCCCAAGGTTTAAATATGCTTGCAGTGTAAAGCTTACTTTCTAGTATTCAATGTAATGTAATTATATTATACCAATGGGCGGTAGCCCCCCAGTTTGTTGGGCAGTCGGGCAATATTCGATCAACAGTCGGGCAATTTTGGTTTGCAATAAAAAAAATGGGACAAATTCTGTAAATTTTGTCTAAAATTAAATAAATTTGGTGACAAAGTTTTGGTTTTTTGGCAAATTTGTCTTATGTTCCGAAATTTTTTTGTTTTACGGAAAATTTTTTTGATCCCTAAAATGGTACACTGACCAAAATTTTTTTGGCGACGGGTCGCCAAAATAATTTTTGCGGAAAAATTTTTCGGTAGTAGTCGGGCACAATCACGAAAAGTCGGGCAATTTTTTTTCCGCCCCCCTAAATTTTTCCTTCCGGTACGCCCATGGACACGACACTATATAGCAGCACACACAATCGACAAATGTTTTGCTGTAACTGTCCTTCGTTAAAAATTAATGCATGGCCAAGACGTTCCCTTTAAAAAAGAAATATTTTGCATTACAGAATATTATGAAGAGTGCACTGCACATTTTATGTGTTTATCAATCAACTTATAGATAAAACAAACTCAATCTAATAGTACTTTTGTTGGTGACGTGTCAGAGTAAATATTTGAGATTTTAAATAGGCAGAAAGTTTGGCTAAACTATCAATAGGTAACACTTTTTTAGGGGCATGCTACAATTTAACAGGGCGCATTGGCAGAGAGACTGGTTAAACAATTAACCAGAAGAGCATAAACTTTTCTGGCAGTAACATTTTCAGTTACAGTAAATAATAAACATAGTATATTAGACATTTTAAGTTTAATTGATTGTGAAGTTCTTTCCTATCATTTCAAATTAATATACTGTATTTTATTATAAAAAGTATTGTGCTTTATATTGATTTCGAGCACTGATAAAAGTGATAATCACACATGTGAGATTATTCATGATAATCTCACATGTGAAAATTATCACTTTTCAATTATCGCTTTTCTGTAAAAATTATCGCTTTTCAAAGACTGTCCTTTATATAATAAACAGAAAAATACATGGGTGCTTGGAAATATCAGATTTATTTCTTGTGTTGAACATGATATCTCACTTGTTCGCTGCGCTCACTCGTGAGATATCATGTTCAACACTCAAAATAAATCTGGTATTTCTCGCGCACCCATGTATTATTCTCTATATAAACAACATCACTTTATAGCCAGTCTATATCCCATTTTAAATATCCTACATATATTTTATAATCACTGTATATCCAGTATGTGGCCCGAGAATCTGATAGGATATTTTCCAACTATTCAGCATATCTGGTCTTCAGCTGGATGGCAAAATGCTTTAAGCGGTGCATCCCTAATGTATATTAATTATTATTAAATAATTTCATTCTTGTGGTAGTGGCCAGGGAAATATTATAACACACATCTCTAAAGCTATAATAAAAATTGTTCAAAATTCTAACTTATTTTTAAGATGAGACAATAGTGGGGTGTTACTCCGGGGAATACATTTCTCCTGGTTTTTCAACCACAAATTTCCAACATTGATCAAGTTACAATTCTGAATCACCAGATAAAACTTTTTGCTATCCAGCCAGATTTCAGCTATTTCGTATAGTTGAAAGATATCCGGTTAAATACTGTTGATATAATATAAGGTTTAGACTTTCATTTTTAAAGATAAATAATTATTTTATTGGTTATAAAGTGAGGGTGTTTATAATACTTTGACTTCAAAAGATATGTGAAATCATAGCAAAGAGCTTCACTCTAAACAAGGGTATTGCCAAAGCTTTGCTCACAAATCTCAAAGGTCAAACCTGGTTTCTTCCAAAATACTGGATAGTAAGATTATTTTACTATCCACTATCTGCCAAGAGGGGGAATAGGGCACTAACTTGAGATTGAGAGCCTAAAATTGAATAGGTCCTTTAAATTGGTTAGAGCATTCTTTAAATTGAGGGCCCCTTACAGTAGCTCCACATGCAATCTAGCTAAGGTCCAGTCATGAGGTCCCCAAAGAAGATTTGCCCCGGGCAGGATAAACACTGAGAAGGAGGAATATATGTCATATAATGTACACCATAGCCAGAGGGGCATATTTAGAGAGTGGGAGGGGGGGGGGGGTATAGCATGGCCAAATTAAAGTAGAAGTAACTAGTAAGGGGCCACCAAAAAAAGATTAGATTGGGAAAACTTAATATATGGAGGTAACAGATTGCAATACAAAATGAACAATGTGAGGTCTGCATGGCACACCTTACAAAACGCACCGTTAATACACCGATTTTTCAGAAAGCCCTAATGTGAAGGGCATGCCTGTCAATATATTTTGGTCCCCATACAAACTTTTACACTATTCGAATTCTGGTGTATATTTACACCTTACACTATCATGGTGTCGTCTCATACACGAGAATTAGATCGCTAAATTTACACAGTGTGAGGGTAAGTTTACAGCATAGTATAGATGTACGTTATTACTTCAGTTTCTACTTTACACCAGATCAGTGTATTTTGAAATCGTCTTAGTGTAATTATACACCAGGTTCAGTGTAGATTTACCCTAAGTAAGCATTCATATTTTTTACACCATACCGGTGTATATTTACACAATCAAGTTGTTATTTCATACACAAGATTTGGCTAAATTTACACCTTTTGAGGGTACATTTACAGCATAAAAAGGTGTCAATACTTCGGTTTACGGCGGGCAAAAAAGGCAGCAAATTTGGCCACGTACATATAACTTTCTGTCGTTAGTTTGGAATATCACGAAACTCCCTCACAGGATAGAACTTAACATTCCTAAAAATCGTATGTTTTTTGTTTTTCGATTTTGTTACATTTTGGCGGGAAAATGACGTGCCGACTTTGGCGCCAAAAAAATTAAACACGAGCTAAGAACATGCTAGTAACTTTTTTGAAGAGATTGTCCTATAAGGATCTCAAAACTGTAAAACCATTAAAGATATAACAAGGCAGTGCGAAGATATGGCGATTAAAAGTTCGAAAAAAATCTATTTTTAGTAACAAAATGGCTGATTTTTCAGTAAAAATAGAACTTTGAATCGCCATATCTTCGCAATGCCTTGTTGTATTTTTCATGTTTTTACAGTTTTGAGATCCTTATAGTACAATCTTTTCAAAAAAGTTACTAGCACGTTCTTAGCTCGTGTTTAATTTTTTGGCGCCAAAGTTGATACGTCATTTTCCCGCCAAAATGTAACAAAATCGAAAAACAAAAAGCATACGATTTTTAGGAATGTTAAGTTCTATCCTGCGAGGGAGTTTCGTGATATTCCAAACTAACGACAGAAAGTTATATGTACGTGGCCAAATTAGAATGGTCTTAGTGTAATTATACACCAGGTCCAGCGTAGATTTACCCTAAGTAAGCATTCATATTTTTCACACCATATCGGTGTATATTTACACAATTAAGGTGTTATTTCATACACAAGAATTGGGTAAACAGTACACCGTTTGAGGGTAAATTTACAGCATAAAAGGTGTGAATACTTCGGTTTCTACTTTACACTACATCAGTGTATCTTAACATGGTCTTAGTGTAATTATACACCAGGTTCAATGTGGATTTACACTAAGTAAGTATTCATATTTTTTACACCATACCGGTGTATATTTACATTATTATGGTGTTATCTCATACACAATCATTGGGTAAATTTACACTAGTTAAGGTAAATTTACACCGCAATAATAATTAATACATTAGTTTCTATGTGTTTGTGATGTTACTCTGAGTGCATATCCACACCGGGCGAGCTTGAAAAATATGCCCGGCCACGGTGGGATTCGAACCTACGACCTTTGGAATACTAGCCCAATGCTCTTCCAACTGAGCTACGCGGTCAGGACGGTTCGAGTAAGTGATATTTCCGAACAGTATCTAGTTCCTTCAATACCAATGTGTTCTTGTAATATGAATTTTTTCTGTGCTGGTGTTGTGTACTCAGGTGAATAATATGTTTGTGATGTTACTCTGAGTGCATATCCACACCGGGCGAGCTTGAAAAATATGCCCAGCCACGGTGGGATTCGAACCTACGACCTTTGGAATACTAGCCCAATGCTCTTCCAACTGAGCTACGCGGTCAGGACGGTTCGAGTAAGCGATATTTCGGAACAGTATCTAGTTCCTTCAATACCAATGTGTTCTAGTAATATGAATATTTTTCTGTGCTGGTGTTGTGTACTCAGGTGAATAATATGTTTGCGATGTTACTCTGAGTGCATATCCACACCAGGCGAGCTTGAAAAACATGCCTGGCCACGGTGGGATTCGAACCTACGACCTTTGGAATACTAGCCCAATGCTCTTCCAACTAAGCTACGCGGTCAGGACGGTTCGAGTAAGTGATATTTCGGAACAGTATCTAGTTCCTTCAATACCAATGTATTCTTGTAATATGAATTTTTCTATGTTGGTGTTGTGTACTCAGGTGAATAATATGTTTGCGATGTTACTCTGAGTGCATATCCACACCGGGCGAGCTTGAAAAATATGCCCGGCCACGGTGGGATTCGAACCTACGACCTTTGGAATACTAGCCCAATGCTCTTCCAACTGAGCTACGCGGTCAGGACGGTTCGAGTAAGTGATATTTCGGAACAGTATCTAGTTCCTTCAATACCAATGTATTCTTGTAATATGAATTTTTCTATGTTGGTGTTGTGTACTCAGGTGAATAATATGTTTGCGATGTTACTCTGAGTGCATATCCACACCGGGCGAGCTTGAAAAACATGCCCAGGCACGGTGGGCATAAGAGTAACATCGCAAACATATTATTCACCTGAGTACACAACACCAACATAGAAAAATTATTTTATTAATAACAATTATTTTATTAAAATATTGATTCTCTTCATTGCTGAAATCTAACATTGATCACGTGGCAGTCCCACTTTATGCTTTGTTGCAGGCAAAGAAGCATCCACGTAGCCTTTGACACCCTAGTCTGTTTTTAATGTTGTCAATATTAACTCATTAACTGGCAATGTGAATGTGCCCAAATGTACCTACTTATAGTATTTACTCTGTCTAATGCCAGACGATTAATTACTCGTCAGTGGTAGAGTGCTGTCAATAAATGGGTTAAAGTGAATGTTAAATATGAATCAAGTTGAAATCGGTTGTAATAACCAACTGATTCATTAACCCATTAAGTTGCAAGACTCCACTTGATGAGTAAAATCATCTACAATCTTGGACATAAATTATTGGCAAAAGGGTAAAAAATAAGAAAATTCATCGAATTTCACCCCCCTTCCCCTAATATCAATGTTGATGGGTGTATTCAAGGCCAGATAACTTGGCCAAACATTGATATTGGGGGAAGGGGACATCATTGGGACAAACATGTCTTAAAATTATATTTTGAAGTAATAAACTAGTTTTTGCCACTTTTTGTCCAGGATTGTAGCGTTAGACAGAGTAAAGATTTATTGTGTTATCTGCCGCTGTTGGAAGATCCTTTCCTTGAACATTTTACTAAAGATTTGCTGTGTCATCTGCTGCTGTTGGAAGATTCTTTTCCTTGAACATTTTACTAAAAATTTACTGTGTTATTGTGCATAATTTCTAGTAAAATATAAGAAAAATTCAAATGTTGTATTTCCAAAAATATGCACTCAGA